TCCATTGCTCGTGATAAGCCCGAGGGTCAAGAAATCGGGATGGACTTACCCTACCGGATCACGCACGTTTATTCCACTTCCGTTAATCAACATTCCCCTCCGCATCGTAGAGGCTCGGTTTCCCCCACGACACTAATTGTTATGGGTCACTGACTGAATGCAAGACACCAGAAGATAACACGCGTGTTCCCAGCGTTGCCGTTCCCCAATCACCGCTGCACTTGTTGCGATTGCACACTTGTTGCACTAACACGACGTAACTCAAACAATCTCGATGGCCTCGTTAAAAGTGGAGGTGCCTTCGCATAAAAATTCGTGACGAGGTGTGTAATTTCATTTATAAAAAGAAAAGTAAATTTAAATCGACGGTGTTTCCTCTAAAACAAGGTAAAATGAAACTATTTCATTCCATTTCAACAATTCATTGTAAAATGGAACTTTACAGGAACCTTAAATTTCTACACCCTCACACTGGCATAACTCCTTACTGCACGTCTCGTCTTTATCCCGTCAGTTTTTGTGCCTTCACCACTAGCATAATAATTAATTTATCTTCGTTAACGTCCGTTTTGTCTCTATCTCGACAGTTTTTATACCACTGCCATCAGCGTGAGGATTAATTTGCTCAAAAAACGATACGCGCGTCAGACGATAACTGATTTTATCATGCAGGGGAAAAGTATTACTGTCGTCGCGGCGATAAGGAAATCTTTACTAGTGGAGGAGATGATTTTTTGTGAAGGAACCGTTTCCAATTTCCAAACAGGAAAACAGAGAATACAGCTTAAAGGGTCCATAAATTAATTGCGTTCATTTATTACAGTCCAGTTGAATAGTTTGCACGCGCAAACTGCGAACATTATTCACACGCGAAGCTTATATTTGCAACCTGATCGGTGTTATCGCTGAAGCTCTAATATTTCTGGCGAATGAATGGATAATATTATGCTAAATATGCAGTATTATTGCTTTCGCACTATGAATCTTATAAGAAACTCAAATAATCAGTTTTCTAAGTTCCTAATTGAAATTCCTGATAATCACGAAAATGTTCAAATTTTCAGAACTAAAAGATTCTAAATTTTGAAACAACAAATAATCTCAGAATAACACAATCGATAGTTTATATTAATACGTATTTCCTGTGTAAAAAAATCGGGGTCGTTCACTCGGCGCGACCCATGAATATGTAAATTAATTACGAGACGCAATACAGTCTTAGAAAACAAACGCTACTTTTATCGTGCACGGACAAAAAAAAATAACTTATGGATACTTAACACCAAGAAATTAGTAAACAGCGAGTTACATTCGCAGTACATTCTGAGTTGAGAGCACGACAATATTCATCACGCTCTATTACAATGATAACTGGAGCAGACCGCTTATTAAATTACTCGTTCGAGTTTCTTTAACAGGCGTGTTGATCCCTTTTACATGTTCTAAAAATAAAGCCAATTAAAAATATGGGCATAGAAAAGTAAAAATGTGTTGGAGTAAGAATATCTCTTAAGAATATAATTTCGTTGTAATCTTGTTATCCGTTGTTTCTGAAGTGACTAAATACGAACGAACGTGGGTGTACAATTGCAAAATGAACCTTTTGTATGATAGTTTTGTATCATGATGCCACGTAGCAGCAATCGATATAATAGAATTTACATTATCCGTAGCCAACGAACCATAATCCATTAACACCCAAACAATTTCTGTTCACGCACGGACACGCCACGGTTGCACGAATTACATATGTGTCAATATAGAACGTGCCACCGTTGTTTATACGAATGATTGATAACGAGTTTGTAACATATTCGTGTTACTGCTCAGTGACTTCACGCGATGGCTTTTGACTACACAACAAAATATATTCCCTCCACTACTCTGTTTAATGAGAGGAATCGTAACAATACAATTTCATTTCAAATCATCCAAACTTACTTCTTTATTTATACGTTACACATTTATTATACGCACCCACAATCAAGATTTTTTCCGTTTATGATACCGTAGCTCATTCTCTGGAATCTTCTTCTCTGGACTCTGTTTTCGACTACACCATAAAATATAATCCCTTCACCACTCTGTTTAATTAGAGGAATCGAAACAATACAATTTCATTTCAAATCATCCAAGTGTAGTTCTTCATTTATACGTTATATATTCATTAAGCGCATCTACAATCAAGAACTTTTTCCATTTATGATACCGTAGCCCATTCTCGGGAATCGTCCAAATACGCTATCTCCTAATTACTCCGAGCACTGTGCACTGCAAGATGGAAAATAACAATCTGAATGCCCTCGATTCTCGAAGCACCGTCAGCCTCCTTTGTCTCGAAACGAGTAAAACCAGATTTTTACAACCTCTCGAGGGTCCCGCTTATTATATCTCGTCTTGTCGTTATTGTGCGCCAAGCGAAAGAAGAATATATTCGTATTCCTTTTATACCCTCGGTCTGGCATTTACGGAGGCATTTTAAGTGTATCTTTAGAACCGTGTAGCATAAGAGCAGTTGGTTCCCGTGGATACTTGCACACGATAGAACCCAGCATACTCGTCCGTCTGGCGAAGTCCTCGAAAGAGCAAAAAGCATCCTTTTCCTTGCATATCCTCCCATTTTTGTTGTATGGATGTAGGTGTCACGGCAACTTGGGTTGGTCATCGATATTTTTCACTCGAGAATAACAACGAAAAAAGACTAATCTACTCAGAGAATGTAAATACGAAATGCAAGACATCGCTATTTCTAGGTTCGACTGTTTATGATTCGTAGGAGAAGATCCATCAAATTCATTAAAGGACAAGTTAAGTTACTGTAATTAATAATACATGCGAAAAGGTCGCCATGAACACCTCAAAAGGCCACACGCGGTCTTTAGGTCACGAGAGCCCATTCCTTAGACTTAGAATGTTCATTGCACAAACCGATTATCTCCACAAAACAAAAAGTTGAGAAATGCGATAAAATCGCCTCTGAAATAAATTATTTATTATTCAATGGCCAACAAAATGTTGTCGTTTAATGGTGTTAATCTTTACTACAGAGGAAAGTTATTATAAATATACAAAGTTATGACTATACCAAATGCTTTGACACTTAAATTTAAAATTTCTCAAAGGCGGAGTTAATCGATTTGTGCAGTAAACAGCTTATATTATCTAGGATCTAAGAGTACTATCAAAGGTCCATTAAAAAGTGATTGCCAAACATGGGTATGTCTCCTTGTAGGTCAGAATCGTTCGTGTAATTTCAAGATTTTTCCACATTTTGCAACGAGACCATCTGCTCCGTGACGGGCGGTTATTATTCAGAAAAAGGAGAAAGAAGTCGCGACAAGGCTAAATGAATAATTCCTACAGCGCGTCCCCAGGCTCGTCGTGACATTTGCACGAACACACCGCTGGTATCTGGTTGTTGGTCCGATGAGCCGAGGGAATGCGTTGTTCTCCTCGAATCGAGGATCGTCTTGCGCCACGAGACCAGTGGAGGAGCGTTTGAGGAAGATCTCGGGCAGGATTGTGTGCAGACGTGGCGACTTATCATCATTTAGGCGATTTAGACTCAAAAATAACAATTAAAAACTTAAAAGTTCTTTTTCCATTCCGCTATTTGTGCCGTTCATTGCACAAATCGATTTACTTCACCAGTCACATAAAAATTGTAACATTACTGGTGATTGTATTTTGGGTATTCTTTCTTATTAATTTTATATACCGCTAGATGAAAGCTGCATGGTTTAGATATGTATTATAAATAAGAATTGTTAATGTATAGATAATACATTTATTAATTTTATTGACATGTCTAACGCTAACTACATAACACTATTGAATCAATTGTGTAAAGTGCTGTTCTTGTTGACGCGTACATATCATTGCCTTATTAGTCCAGTGCACGCGTACTGAATAGAATTTTCAAACTCGACTTTCTCGAAAACAAAGCGTCCGAGTGCAAAGAGTTAATATTGTTTGCAGTATCTCTTAATCCTCATATCTGTGTAGACAGCCCTTGGGGCCATTTAAAAATATAAACCTTAGGCGACTTGAGCGCTGCAGACCATTCCTCGAGAAGAAAGTCTAGTTACTCCGATCTCGTGCCGCATGAGAAGCCAATCGCGAAGATCTCGACGGCAGTCACGGTTTCATCGGGAAAGAACAGGTTGCGTGTTTTGCAACACCCGCATAGTCTTTCGGAGTTCATCGTTTGAGAGAGAGATGCTCCGTTCGCACGTCTTTCGACAGACCGTTCGCGCTCCTTCGAAGAGCATTGTGTCAATTTGCGAACCATGTATCCTACAGTGAATTATATTTATTTGTTCAGTATCAAATCACGTACTCGTTACTGCCTTTCTGGATTCGTGCGATCGACGTGAATGGTTTCGAGACATTAACCTCGAGTCATTTTTGCGTTGGGCAACGATTTTGCGGTTTATACTTGATTTGCTTAGGCGTGATGGCTGACGAGGCAGATTGCGAATCGTCGACGCGATGGAAAATATGCTCGAAAGGAAACTACAGAATAATGCCTCATTAATATTTTAGCTTAAATTTGGAACTTTCTTAACATCCTCCTTTCCGAACACACACTTTTTCTGTGCCATGTGTTTCTTAAATTTTGAATGGAGGTATCTCTTCAACTTCGCCAAACATTTTTACGTGAATTTGTCGACCAGAATTCAGATAAGATTCTTGTCTACCGTAAGATACAATTACTCCTACAGGTGGTCCGAGCGCAGTTATTTATATAACCGCCAATACATCCTGGTAAATCACGCAAACACTCGTCCATACTGGACATGCAATGGATTTGGGTTAAGATAAACGGACACGCCGATTCGAAGCAACGTTATCGTATTTATATCATAGTTTCACGATCCAGAGTCGGTCGAAACGATATTCATAGCCAGCAATAACAATGTTTCACGCAGGCAATGCACGAACTGATCGATCGTGTATCGAAGCCGATCGCGGCCAATGACGTTTGCTAAGGTCGCCACGCGTTGATACGCTCCTACGATAACTTGAAAGTGCGAGTTCCTGGTACATTTCCCGCAAAACCTTGCCTCGGTGCTGCTCAGAGGCTTGTTCCTGGTTGAAAATGTGGGTAACTGGCATAAGGACGGTCGCTCGCGCTAGCCGCAGTCGCTCCTTCTTTGTTTCTCGTATGGGGCGCGTGTCGTGCGGCGATGTCGCGCACATGAACGATTGCTAACTGTTGTGAGTGATAAACGCGGCCAAAACGTGCCGCTATAAGTTAAGGTCCGTTTTCACGTAATAGTAAGTCACGACTTCAAGGAACGACTCGATGACAGCACTGCTGATAGTCAAATAGGTTTGTGCGAAGACGTCAAAATATACCCTCATACAAACATATAAAAAATGAATTTTGCTCCACGTGTACTTCTTAAAATATCAATCTATAGTCATCGTGTTAACCCTTTGCTCTCGGATGTCCTCTATGAAGGGATGTCGTAAGTCTAGTCAATTTTTTTAGTGGTTATGTAGAATAAATGTATGCTATGGCATATTTGTTAAAAATGCATGTTTCCTTGAAGTTTTCTGATCGAAAGTGCACGAGAAACCAAAACAAAATATGATGTATACAGAGATTTAGAGAAAAATATATGGGCAGGCGTTACATGGAAAGAGTATGAAATAAAGAATTTCCTAAAAGACGCTTCAGGGTTTTAATTTTAATAATAAAATATGCGGACCAACATAGCGTAGTGGACACTTTCAATTATGTTTAAGTACAATCATGTGTACTTTATTTAAAATATAGGTATCAATTGAACATATTCAATATATATATTGCAATATATATAATACATCATAGAATAGATAGATTATGAAGCTTCCTTTGAAAGATCCTTTATGTTTGAAAAGTTTCCAAAGATGGACTATTTAATTTAATGCGATTCCTGTCGCACGGTTTGCAACGACATGGCGCACAGTGCAAAGAGTTAAAAGTAGCGGTTTTACTGTCACGTGAAAACTGACCTTAACACATTGTCGTCTAGATTTTCTGATTTTAGTACAGTTCTGTCGAGTCTCACTCGACATAGGACAGCAAAGAGTTAAACGCGGCTTGTTTCTCTCGAGCAGCGTCGCTTGCGCTCGGCTATTGCACCTGCGACTGTTACGAGCCACGAAACTCGTCGAGATCGATCGGGGCAATAAGTTGATCCTAATGAACCCGCGAGTACTAGGCCGACTCGTTTGGCTGACTCACGGCGAGTTATAGGCTACTTTGTTTGGAGAACAGTTGCGTACGATAAATCTACGTCCGTACGATTTAATCGACACCGTGCAAATGTACTCTCGATCTTTTACTGGATTTTCAACACACTCGTGGTTGTTGACATAAAGCTACAGTCATACTGGTCTCTGTCATTCTTTATACAAAACTGCTTGTTAACACATTTTCATTATATTAGATTGTCCCGAAAGTTTCTCTCGCGACTTGCACTCACGATCAGTTGTCTCGTGTGGCAGCCTTTGTATACATGGACAATCTTATCTCTTATTGTTAGAAGTTGGTGCCGTAACAGTAATAAAGCAAAATGAGCCGTACACAACTCAGTATCGTAACATAAAACACAAAATATAGCGTATATATTATTTATTAACACATTCGCGACCAGCAGATATCTTACGTTTCTAATACCGAGTACTGACGAAAATAATAAAATTTTGAAGCTGGACATCGCAAATTAATACCCTTAGGGCGAAGATAAAAATTACAAAATATGTTTTGAAATATGAACGTTGTAAATTTGTAGTGTAAAGAAACTTTTGGGGACTTGGTTGATCAATGATCGATAGGAGTCGATGCCGATGGACACCAACAAATGAAATCCTTTACTTCAGCTACTCATCTATTACTGTCATCGAACAATTCATCGTTTTTGAAAAGAAGTGCAATTAAGATCACAGATGGTGGGCTGACAGCGACTACCAATTCATTGATCTCCCGTTATTAGCCCGAGCTGGCACGGTTTCGCGTGATGCTGACTCATTCGCCCATTCTCCATTTTCTTAACCACGTTACGCTTCCATTGCTGGCGATAGGTACCAGCACGGATAACAGAACACGGCTTTATACGTGAATGAGCACCGTCGACGAAATCGTTCGCTCAACGATACGTATCCTGGTATTGAGCAATATTCGGAGGGTAATTTCTATTATGACGCGTGTACCTGGCCAAACTGCGTCGGAGAAAGTGTAATAAAGGTAACGAAAGTTCGTTGTGATAATTGATTACGAAACGAACCCGATTCTCCTCCGAAATGATGTGAATATTATTTTAGTACGAGGCCTAATTGCGACTGCTGGGTTTAAAGTCACTGATTTCACAAGTGGTTGCTCGAGCGACTAGATGATTAGCCTTAATACGCTGAAAATAATGTTTAAGTAGTATGGCGGGTTGGGGATAATCACTGGTCTAATGAGCAGATTATCTGGATACTTGGAATATTTTAGAATTATATTTATTCATCGCGCATCGATCGCGTTTAAGGGATTATTTTGACGTAAGTGAACGATGTATTATAAAATCCTCCAGCAATGGTCAGTTTTTCTATTTTTAGGGTTGAATTGAACATTACTATATACTTTCATAAAATTAATACTATGACTTTAATTCTTACATTTTCAGGAGGATGACTCAATACATGAGTGGAATGATTATTTATTAAAAGCTATTCGTGACTCTCTAATTGTTTTCCTTCCGTTTACACGTACGAGCGCCTCTATTGCTACTTTCAGAGATAAGTTCGGTATTTAGGAGCGATAAAAAGGGTTTGCGATCTTCTGAGTTACACAATTTTATGGTTCGTTATCACCCTCGACGAGGTGAACCGGTATATCTGATTTCTTCACGATTATTTTGTAAGATCTATAATATGTATCTTATCGCCTCCTATAAATTTATAGTTCCGTTGAGATACAAAGCGAGCATTGCGCACTCATGATGCAAAGATAAGCAGATATAGGTTGGTTGAATACATAAATGGCCATAATTCGCAAACAAGATGAAGTAGACCAGATATAAATCGCTCTTCTTATTTAATTTATGACTGCGTAATCCCTTGCTACAACAGATTTCATCCAATAAAGATGTAGACAACCTAACGAGTGATTTCACACACTTTTTCATCCCGTAAGTATAAATATTGGGTTGTCCAGAAAGTTCGTGCTAATTTTTGAGAAAAATTCAAAGGTCCATTTGAATTTTGATATATATTTATTGAATTACGTAAGTACCATTTTGTTCCATAACCTTTCCACCTTTTAAAATAACATATGTAACTTGTCTTCAACCATTCCGATATATTCAGACCTGTACCACCTACCAAAAATCGGCATGGACTTTCGAGACAAATCAATACTATACGTCGTATTGGACTGTATACGAATTAATGAGTTTGAACCATTCATTTAAATATTTAAATAGCTTTCGAATCTCTGTCGAGAAATGTCTGCCAACTCCACAAGCTGAAATCTGCTTCGTTCGCGCAGCCTGTCGAGCTATTAATCTACCTTGCAGCTTTCACGAGAGTAGGAACATCTGTGTATCGGGGCACAAATCAAAACCCCTGTTTTCGCACGTGTTCACCACATGCGTTCAAATTAGGGTTGAAAGTAACCCTTTGTCGTCCGAGGTTGAGGGTACTCGGAGCTATTAATTACTTGTTCACAGAATGTTGCGAAGAAGTTATTATATCGATACGTTAGGCTCATGCATACTCTCATCGCCCTATACAGTACATCGACTGTAAGTCATCTTTATTCCAATGATTATCTTCCAGTTGTCTATATTTAATTTTGTCTAATCTTTTCAATCTCAAGTCGAATAGCATACCATTACATATCAACGAAGCTATCGTTACACAACAAAGATTTATGGAACGTGTTGCAAGTTTGAAGAATAGTTTACATTTTGTTGACAAACCTGCCGCGTTCGCGTCGGTATTGGCATGGTTTTAAAATTGTGCAAAGATCCACGGTTTACTATAATCAGCCTGTTGGTCCCCTAAGTGTAACGAGTCCAAGGCTACGTTGCCGCAATCCAACTTTCAGTGGGCTCTGTTGTCTTCAGCCTAGTAATTACTACTAGATATTTTGTAGCCGGTCCTTTCACATAATAGTTCCTTCGAGTATCATTGTCCTTCGAACGTGGTTCAGTACACATAAATAGGTTTTCAAAGTTTGACAGAAAGATGGACGGAACTCGTTGCAAAGCATAAAACCGCCATAACGAACTTGTATTTAAAAACTAGTTAGTCGAGGAACTAGTCGCGTTCAAACCAGGTTTTCAACTGGACGAGCCCTACCGATGACTAACTAGGTAGGTAGCAAATATTTTGACTGCTCAAGGACATCGAGGATAAATCCCTTCGGATCAATAGTCTCCAAAATTCTTGAAAAGTGTTTAGGAAGAACTTCTGCGTCTGCGATTACACCAAACGATTACATGTATTAAAAGAGAAACAATCTCCATTACATAACGATGTGTCCTTACATTCCTCGCGGGTCCCTCTCATCACAAGCTTCTTTCACGACGGGAGATTATGTTGAAACGAATATACACGAGCCGACTATCGACGCAGTGCTTATTGTTTCCCCCAACTTTCGTGATTGCAGTATGCAACACGTTGCCTAACAACGACCATCGATATTTGAAAATCGAGGGAGATGAATTCTTCAGTTATACTTGACAATTTTGAACGGAACCGCGGATCGTAGTCCTGCGTTTAGCGCACGGAGCGGGTTAAATAACGTGTTGGGTAAGTCGATACGCAATATTCGAACAGAGCGTGGCTCAGGCGAAGGCGTGTATCGCGTACGCGCGTGTGCATATTCATTTCGACGATAAGTTCTCTTCCTGAAAGTAGACCTACTTCAGACGAAGCGGATAGCGACAGATCGGCTCCACGGAGCCCAGAGCTACCGTGAAAATTTGTGACTTTCATTTTAATGTATCTTTGCCTCCTCGATTTATATA